GGAGTTAAATAGATGATTGTTAGCTGCCATGTGAGTGCTGGAAATTGAACTTGGGTCTTCTGCAAGAGCATCAAGTGCTCTTAACCACTGAGTCATCTGTCCAACCCCTGGGTTTTTTGTTTGTTTATACTGAGTCTTAATGTGTCATCCTGGCTGACTTGGAATTCGCTGTATAGAACAGGCTGACCTCAAATCTTCTCTGCCTCTCAAGTGCTGGGGTTACAGAGATGTGCCACCATGCCCAGCTTGTATCTATAGATTTTACAAGAAGGGGCCAACAGATGGCTCATTGAGTAAAGGTGCCTTGCTGCCAAACCTGAGACCCTCATGGTGGAAGGAGAGAACCACTTCCTGCAAATTGTCCTTTGACCTGTGTGTGTATTATGTGCAGACATGCAAATAAATATAATTTTTTTTAAGGTGAGCATAGAAGAAAGCTCCTATCCTGTTGTAGCCATAGACTGTTTCTTAAGAGCTCGGTGATAGATTTATGCATTTCGATTTTATTGCTCTTTTCTATTTTGAATATGTTTGGAATTTTCCCATATCAAAACTTTTTAAAATGTGCCTATTTTGAGTTAGGGTCTTACTATGTTGCCTAAGCTGGTGTCAAACTCCTGGGCTCAAGTAATCCTCACTTGCACCTCTTGAGTGCTAGGACTACAGGTACACACTTGATTCAATGGAAAAGAAAAGTCTGGGTACTGATTTAATGAATATTGTAAAGAAGAAGAAATATTTGGAGACAAAAGGAAACAGTTTTGTAAGCAAATCACACTGGCAGATGTAATTACACAAAGAAAAGATAAGTGCTGAGAATATGTTTGTTCCAGCAGCATAGAGCGAAACTTGTAGTTGATAAGCCTGTAACCTCAGGATAACAAGGATGGTTTATATTTTTTCTTAAAGAAAATAGAAAGTGAACACTTTCTATAAAAGGAAAAATAAACAATCTTGAGTCCGTCATGAGCAAGTTATTATTTCATGTAGAATGCACATTTCTTCCAAAAAAAAATAAAACTTTAATCCTTCCGTAAGCAACTTTTTGTGGGAGCAATTCTTTAGAAATTCATCTTTATTACCACATCAAACTTAATTCTAGTTTAAACCTTGCTGTATATCTACAAGTCCTGAAGTGACCCCTGATTGGTTCAAGGCCAGTTAGACTGAAGCCTGAAGTTGTCTCTCTGTCGATCCTTCCTCAGATGGACACTCCTGTTTTCATGTGCACTTCTGTTTTTGAGGGAGCTGAATGCCCCTTCCTGAGGCATGCTCGCTGCTCGGCTTACTTGTTTTCCTTGGAGAAGTCAGGCTCTTAACAGTCTAACTTCTGCTTCATGATTCAGCGTTTTCACCTCAGTTTACTCAGCCTGTGTGTAGCGCACTTAGAGACACCACATTTGTCGGGCTACTCAAAAGACTGAGGAAAGACGTTAATCTTTCCTGAGACTGAAGGAGAACACAGGCAGAGTAAAGGCCAGGGTCAAAGTGAAAGCTCTCTTGGGGTTGGGACTGGTAAAGTTTGTCCAAATCCAGAGGTAATAACCTAATCCCGGCACTTGGGAAGCTGAAGCAGGAGGATTACCATGAGTACTAGGCCATCCTGAGCTATGTAGTAAGTTTCCAGCCAACCTAGGTTTTAGAATGAAATCCTGCCTTTAAAAAAATACAAAGAATCCATAGAAGTTGTTCTCTATAGTCTGTGACTTAGAGCTGTTTGAAAAGACAAACATAAATGGTTGAAGCAAAAAGGAACAGATGGAGGTTGGAATAATGAGACTAGATAGCACTTCTTAAATTGCTAGTGTTCTGTCTCTATTTTAAACTTGAAGCCACATGCAGTCTTATTTCTGCTTATTGAAAGAGAAAAAGTCCATTAAGAAAATGTAAATTTGTTGTTGCTCAACAGTGTGGAGGGGCTTCATGTTTATCTCCCCTTTTTTCCACCTAGGTAGTTAACATCAAAACTGATTTTATATTCTGAGCACACATGGGGGTGGCTTGTTGGGTGACGGGGAAAGTAAGTCCAGGGTTAACCATTTAGTGGGTGAGCTACATGCATTCTGTTGCCTATTTGCAGTTGGTGGTTGGTAGTTGGGATGTGTTTGTTGCTGAAACTTTGGGTTTCCCCTGATTTATATGGTCATAAAATTCATATAAATCCTTACTCCAGAGGCTTTTGGGGAAGGGTCATGCTGCTGCCCCTATCCCCACATCACCCCATGCTCCTTTCTGGGGCTTCATTTCTTTTCTAACTTCTCAAGGAAGTTACCATCATCCATAAGTAAGGACATTGTTGAAGGGGGTCCTATGTGTCCTGTGGTGAATATTTTGATATAGTTAACTGCTTGTTCTCAGAACTCTTTTTTTTTTTTTTTAAATCTTACTGTTTTTATTTGAATTTATATGTATGAGTGTATTGCCTGCCAGTATGTGAGTGCACCCATGTTGTGTAATGCCCAGGGAGGTTGGAAGAGGGCATTGAGTCTCCTGGAACTGGAGTTAGAAAATTGTTAGCCATGTGGGTGCTAGGAACCCTGGTCCTTCAAGAGCAGCCAATGCTCTTAACCACTAAGCCATCTTTCCAGCCCCAAGAACTCTTTAAATATGGAATGATCTGCTCTTATTGGCTCCCAGCTTGATGAAAAATGCAGGTGCTAGCCAGTCAGGTGTGGTGGCGCACACCTTTAATCCCAGCGCTTGGGAGGCAGAGGCAGGTGGATCTCTGTGTGTTCAAGGCCAGCCTGGTCTACATAGTGAATTCCAGGACAGCTGGGGCTACAGGGAGACGCTGTCTCAAAAAGACCAAGAAAAATGCAGGTGCTAACTTCGCTCTCCAAGGTGGCTATAGGCAAGAGCAGTTTGAAAGGACTGTTTAGATCTGTTATTGGCCCAGGGAACACAAATTTATACACATGAACAGGGAGGGATGCTCTCTTAGCCTGTAACACCCCAATGTACCTCTTTAGACAGTATTCTTGAATGGTACTGAGGTAGTAGAAATTGAGTGTTACAGTATTTAGGATCACAACTAATCCTCATCCAACTGCATATATGCTCACTATGACATAAAATCCCAGAGAATCTCTCTGGGCTATTTTTTTTCTTTTTTTCTTTCTTTTTTTTAAAAAATTTTTTGGTCTTTTTGAGACAGGGTCTCCCTGTAGCCCCAGCTGGTGTGAACTCCCTATGTAGACCAGATTGGCCTTGAATTCACAGAGATCTACCTACCTTCCCCCAAGTGCTGGGATTAAAGGCATGTGCCAGCATACCTGGTCAGTTTTATTTATTTTTATTTTTCCTGAGGCAGAGTCTCACTAAATTCACTGAATAGCCTAAACTGGCCTCTTCTGTCTCCACTCCCAAAGTTTTGGGATTAAAGGAGTGCACCACCACACCTGGATTCTAGCTGTTGTAAACACCACTGTGATCCATGTTATGCCTGTCCCTCTCTGTGTGTGTGTGTGTGTGCATGCAGATGCATTTATATGCATGTAGAACCAGAGGTTGGCATTGAATGTCTTCTCTATTGCTCTCCACCTTATTTTGTGAGACAGGGTCTCTCACTGAGCCTGAAGCTCATCAATTTAGCTAGTCTGGCTGGCTAGCAAGCTCCAGGAATCCATCTGTCTCCCACCCCACTCCCTGGTGGTGCCAGGGATGTACAATACACCACTATCCCTGGCTTTTTACCTAGATGCTGGGGTATCCAGATCCTGAATACAGGTCTTAATCCTTGCATGGCAGGTATTTATCAACTAAGCCATCTCTCCAGCCTTTAAATACTAGTGAATTAATGTGAAGTCGTGGTAAGCACTAGACAGGTCCTAGCATGTCACTAAGCTGGTTCCCAGAAAAAGAGACAACATTGGCACTAGTTGGCAGTGTGATCTGTATTGCAAGTGGGATTAGGGAAGTACATAGCAAGAGAGCCTATAGCTTATCTTGAAGTTCATAAAATTGTCCCTGAAAAAAAAAGTGTTGAGGGTGAGAGACATAAAGCTAACTAGGCAAGCAGAGATCCCAGACAGAGCCCTTCAGTGTGTATAAACAAGCACCTTCTAAGAACTAAGAAGACAGATACAACTTAAAGTAAGACTGAAAGGTTAGGAGTGGCCCAGCAAATGCTAGGGGAACCTGAAAGTTTGTTGTTTACATTGATTTAATCCAAAGGGTACAAAGAAATCAGCTAAGGATGTTAAATAAACGGGCTTGTCAAGACCAATTTTTTTTTTTTTACTTTTTATTTTTATGTATATAAGTGTATTGCCTGCATTTAAGTGCCCATGTGCATGCAGTGCCCTCAGAAGCCAGAAGAGGGCATTTGGATCCCATGGAACTGGAGTTATGGATGTTGTTAGCTGCCTTGTAGGAGCTGGGAACCAAATCTGGGTCCTCTGCAAGCACAGCCAGTGCTTTTAACTGCTGAGCTGTCTCTCTAGCCCCAGGATTTTTGTTTTCAGAAAGATTGCTACTATGTAGAAAGTGATTCAAATGGAAAAAAATTGGCTGCAAGTGTGCCAGTAGGTTTTGTTACAGTGACTGAGGCAGTGACAGTGGCTTGTGGTGAAGGCAGAGAGAAGAAAGAACTAGTGGAAATTGTTGAAGCTAGGTGATAAATGCATGAAATTTTTACCATTCTTTGTATTTTAAGTGTTTTTGAAACTTTTACACTATACAGTGTTGAAAGTAGAGAAATAGGTATTGGCAGCCAGGCATGGTGGTACAGGCCTTTAATCCCAACACTTGGGAGGCAGAGGCAGATGGATCTCTGTGAGTTTGAGGCAAGCCTGGTCTACACAGCAAGTTCCAAGGCTACAGGGAGACCCTGTCTCGGACCAAAAAGAAAAAGAAATAGGTATTAACAACTGAGTGGGAAAAAAGAGTTGAGTTGCTTGGTGAATGGTGACCCCTGAGAAGAGGGAACACAGGTGCAGAAGTAGAGAGGGTGTAGTCATTACTGACATGGGCAGCGTGGGGTTACATAAGATCTCTTAAGGGTGCTTGCTTCGGAGGCATATATACTAAAATTGGAACAATACAGAGAAGATAAGCATGGCCCCTGTGCAAGGATGACACACAAATTCATGAAACATTCCATATTTTTAAAAAAAAATCTCTGAAGGGCAGTTTGTATGAGTCTACCAGGGACTTTGGTCCAGTTGTTAAACAACTGTTGGAGTCAGAGGAGTTGTGTTTCTTTCAAAAGAACCTCTCGTGTACTGTTATTACTGTGAACCAGACTTAAAACTACACACGTATAAAACAGGATGGGCGAGATGGCTCAGCATGTAAGAATATTTTCCTCCTAAGCCTGACAACCTGAGTTCAATCACTACAACCCATGGTGCGAGGAGAAAACAACTCCTAAAAGTTGACCTCTAACCTCTACATAAGCACTATGATGCATGCACGCACACACGCATGTCCTATGAACACACACAATAATAATAAATTTTAAAAGCCACCTTTGGGGAGTGGTGGGACTTCTTGTCCTGGCACATGTTTTATGAGTTCCTCAGCCACCTTCTCTGCTGGGTCTTCTCTGTTATGAAGAATCTAAAAATCAGTCTAGAGACTGATTCTTTGCAAAAGTTAATATTGCCATCTGGGAATTCTTCCTGAATACTTACTGAGAAATTTGTTTCTAAGTCCTGAGTCTAAGAAAAAAAAATTTTTTTAATTGAGAAAGCAGGAAAAATTATTATAATTCTCCCAAAATATGATAGTAAATGTGGAGTCATTGCTGATGTCCAGGAATCCATTCGTCAGTCAAGAAGCAGCAATAGTGCCGGAGTGTGGTGGCGAAGGTTGAGGTTGGCTCCTCAGCCAGCTTCCCAATGTGTGATCCCTTGTTATAAACGTGGGTTCATAGCCCACCATTGCATGAGTCATTCTTATGAAGTAACTACTGGTGTGTTTATGTACATAATATACTTTGTATGCATCCTGTGAGTGGTATTTTTAAAACATAAAAAGGCACGTTTTATAAGCAGTCTGAGTCTTTAAATTGGCAATTTTGACATGTAGTTGGTTCTTTGCAAGTCAGTTATCCTCCCTAAAGGGAGTGTTCAGTAATGTTTATTTGCATTTCCCTGTAGTTGGATGTTCACTGTAGCCTAGAGTCCTTTATAAAACCTATGAGGAAATTGTAAGGCAAGAATATGTTAGTATTGTGCAATAATTTGATGTAAATCAGAAAGCATATAAAACCTGGATCAACCAAAACAATATGGATTTTTAAATTAAATTTATTTTTTATGAGTATGTTTTGCCTGCATGTATGCGGGTGCACCATGTGCGTGCAGTGCCTGGAGGTGAGAAGAGAGTGTTGGATCACCTGGAACTGGTGTGAAAGATGATTGTTAGTCACCATGTAGGTCCTGGGAACCGAACCCGGGTCCTCTGCAAGAACAGCCAGTGCTCTTAAGTGCTAAGGCATTTCTTCAACCTCAGCAATGTGGATTTTAATAGCAAAACTAGAATCAAGTCAAGCACCAGGCGGCGGGGTGGGGTGTGGGGGGTATGTATTGTTTTAAAAGAAAAGAAATGAGCTTATGAAGTAATTTGTGTGCCTGACTCGAAGGTGCTCGAGTGTTAGAATATCAAGGCAGTTTAGACATTTCTCTACATCAGGAGCACTTGTCATGAAACCAAGGGCCAGGTTGCCTGAGGGGGCCACTGCTGCCCTGTTTTTAACATATTAAGATGGATAAATATATTTTAAACTTTGAGACAGTGTCTAACTGTCTAGCCCCAGCTGGCCTGGAACTTTCTGTATACCAGGCTGGCCTCAAACTCTGAGATTCACCTGCCTCTACCTCCCAAAGTATTAGGATCAAAGGCGTGTACCACCACGCCTGGCTGGAAGATGGATAATCTTAATGAAGGAAACGTGACAGTATCTTTCAATATTTCAAGTGTTTATTATTTTATGTGTATGCGTTTACTGCCTGCATGCCCCCGGAGGTCAGAAGAGGCTGTTGGATCCCCTGGGACTGGAGTTACAGACAGGTGTTAGCTGCCATGTGGGTGCTGGGATTCAAACCTGGGTCTTCTGCAAGAACAACCAGCATTTTTAACCACTGAGCCATCTCTCTAGCTCCTCAAGTGTTTTTTTAAAGACCATCTTTCCATTCTAGTGAAATTGTTTCTTCTCACAATATATTTTTCATAACAATAGTCTTTGGGAGGGTGGAGAGATGGTTCAGTGGTTAAGAGCATTTCCTGGTCTTGCAAAGGATTCAGGTTTGGTTCCCAGCACTCACACCAAGTGGCTCACAAGCATCCATAATTTCAGTTCTAGGGAACTGGATGCTCTCTTCTGGCCTCCATAGGAACCTGCACCTGTATATCCAGACAAGCACACACATGCACACACACAAATATTAAAACGAAGTTTTGCATTTATTTGTTACAAGTTTTGTTTTTTTTGTTTGTTTGTTTGTTTGTTTTTTGGTCTTTCTGAGACAGGGTCTCCCTGTAGCCCCAGCTGTCCTGGAACTCACTATGTAGACCAGGCTGGCCTTGAACTCACAGAGATCCGCCTGCCTATGCCTCCCAAGTGCTGGGATTAAAGACGTGCACCACCATGCCCGGCTTGTTGCAAGTTTTAAACAGAAAAGCCACAAAACTTGTAGAGAATAATTACATAGTAGGGGTCTATTCTTAATTTTAAACATTATCAGAAATGCAAAATAATTAGAATTTAGGGGATTTTGGTCTTATTCTTGGGTCCTGCAAATAGTATATCAGGAACTGGAGTCTGGGCACAGGAGTGTGTGCCTGTAATCCCGGTACTTAGTAGGCCAAAACAAAAGAATCACAATTTAGTGGTCAGCCTGGGTGACACAGGAAGAGTCTGTCTCAAAAATAAAAATAACTGAAATGACATGTCAGGAATTTGGAAACATTGACAGAGCATTTCATTTCTATGTACCTGTCACGAGCAAGACTAGAGGATATATGAGTTAAGAGTATTTTAGTCCTTGCTGTTCCCTATAGCAACAGAATACAAGGAGCCATGGCCAAATAGGTTTTTATATTTATTAGCACAAGAATAATGGACACATTATATAACATGGTCACAAACAAGCCAATTTGGCCAGTAGTCATCAATTTAGCAGTTTAGTTCAGTCGCTTTCTCTCCCAGGGACCTCTCCAGTCACAGGTTCCAGCAGTGAGTGTAGCTCATGGTCCATGCAGGTTTGATGGTGCGACATCTCTTAGGCCTCGGCGATGGGGAGAGTTCAGAGACCCGACATGGTCCGGTCCAGAGGTGGAGAAAGGATCTGTGGGCAGCATCTCTTCTTGCCTCCATCAGATGTGCTCTGAGGACTGGCTCTGAGCCTCTGCTTATATTGAGAGCAATGACATCGAGTAGTTTGATAAGCAGGTGTCTGGTTGGTTGGTCACCCGGGAGCTTATCACTAGCTAACATCCCTAAGTTTCTATTCCGAAGTTCATTTCACAATTCATAATTTGACACATTTCATAATTTCATACAATTTCATAATTCTTATAGATTATTCAATAATCACACATTCTAAAGCAATTCCACCTTGTTCATGAACTCTGTTCCAGAATTTACATTTCTGCTCCTGACAGTACCTAAAGCTGTGATTTGTGAAGGGGTAGTCAGGAGCCCTTCTGCCTTCATGTGTCCCATCAGCTGGGCCATCATGCCACCACCCAGGCCTGACATCCCACAAGTCTTTCTGCCTGGGTTTCTGGGCCTTTTCCATTTTGAAAGCTGGAGAGAGTATCAGACTCGGGAGTTGTCTGGTGCCCTTGCCTGGCTCTACTACTACTTACTTTGGCAAGATGCTTAAGTATGTCTTAGTTGCATCTTCTGTAAAATGGACATAAAAACTTCACCTGCCCCATGTTAATTGTGACAGCCCTTGGCTGATCACTCGATACTGTGTGATTCCTTTGCCCTGTTGCCTTTATATTCCACCGGTGCTGTCTCCTTTAATGCTGTGACTTGCTTTCCCCAGTGGCTGATCTTCCATTATGTTCTATTGTCTGGAGGCTCCGTTACCCACCTACCAAGTCCCCAGAACTTGTCTCTTGCCTTGTCCTCACAGTTCCCATTGTGCATCCACATAGCCTGCCTTCCCCTGCTTGTGCTGAGACCCCCGTCACTTTGAAAAAATGATTTTCAGGACCTCTGAGTTTTTGATGTTTTCTAAAGTATTTAGTTTTGAGTCTGGAGAATGTTTTGTTACATATAAACAGAATTTTCTATTTCAGAGGTGGAACCAAAAGTATTTCTGATCATAGCAACTTCTTTGAAAGACATATTTTATTAGAATAGCAGAGAATGTACATTTAAATTTTCAAATTGTTTCTGTTTTTTCCCTCTACCTAAGGATCCTAAAATGTATGTACAGACAGTGCTGGATGTTCATAAAAAATACAATGCCCTGGTGATGTCTGCATTCAACAATGATGCTGGCTTTGTGGCTGCACTTGATAAGGTAGGTATGCTACCGTGCTGACTTATTGAGTGTATATGGTAGCACATTTTTCTATAATTGTTTTTTATATAACACAGGCTTGTGGTCGCTTCATAAACAACAATGCAGTTACCAAAATGGCCCAGTCATCCAGTAAATCCCCTGAATTGCTTGCTCGATACTGTGACTCCTTGTTGAAGAAAAGGTATTTAAATGGTTTTGTGGTTTTCTTAATGTTCCTTTTTAATCTGCTTTTACATGAGGAACTAAGATTTACATTACATTTTACTTACATTTAAGTTGTAATTTTCTCCTGGTTTGCGAAAAAGATAATACATCATATTTTCAGTTGAAAAATCTGCATTGACTTCCATTGGCTCTTTGTAAAAAGCAAACGACCTTTAATACTACAATATGGATTATTAGTTAGTCTACAGACTCTGTTTTTGATACAAAGTTGCTGTATAGCCCAGGCTAGCCACAAACTCTAGCAGTCTTCCTACTGTAGCCTTCCCCGTGCTAGAATTGCAGGATTGTGCCACTACGTCTAGCTAGTCTGCAGTACTTGAAAATGTTTGTTAAGTTTGGTGATATGTATCTAAAAATTCCTGTCACCTATATTATTAAAATATATATAATTTCCTGTCACCTTATTCCTCACCTGATCCTTTCGTAACCCGCCTTTATGTACTCAGAGCTAGCAACGGCATGGCCAGGCATGGGTTTCCTCTGTGCTGTGCCCCGACTGTGCTGTGTGCTCTGATCCCCTCAGCTTCTCTCCTCATCACAGTTGCTTCTGGTTCTGAAGCTCAGGGTTTGCCTTAATGTCCCATATGCCATGTCAGCAGATGCTAAGGATTTTAGTGAAGGGATACAGTCCCCTTCTGTGTCTGTTGCATTGGTGTCCCAGGCCCCCAAATTGTACCAGTTCCAGTGTCAATAAATTGTATTTTAAACAGATCCTCTAAGGCAAGCATAAAATACCAGCATGAAAAATCAGTCTCACTTAAGAATTGTAGAAACCTGGGGCTGGAGAGATACATAGCTCAGCAGCTAAGAACACTGGTTGTTCTTACAGAAGACCCGGGTTCGAATCCCAGCACCCACATGGCAGCTAACAACTGTCCCTAACTCCAGTCCCAGGGGATCTGACAGCCTTTTCTGACATCTGCAGGCTTTGCACAACACAGGTGCACTTACTTACCTGCATGCAGGCAATAAATGCACACATACACATAAAATAAAAATAATAATTAAGATTTTTTTTTAAGTTGTAGAAGTCTTAAAACATTAACAAACTGGAGCTAGAGAGACAGCTCAGCAGTTGAGTTAACTTACTATTCTTGCAGAGAGAGGACCTGGGTTCAATTTCCAGCACCCACCTTAGGTGACTCACAACTGCCTGTAACATTGGTTCTAGGGGATCTGACACCCTCTTCTGGCCTCTGAGGGCAATGCAGGGCACATACATGCACTCAGGCACACACACATAAGATAAAAATCTTTTCTAAAATGCTGACAGCTAGGCATGGTGGCACATGCCTTTAATCCCAGCACTCAGGAGACAGGTGAATTTCTGTGAGTTCAAGGCAAGCCTGATCTGTATGCGTGTTCCAGACCAGCTGGGGGCTACACAGTGAGACCCTGTATCAGAAATATAAAATAAATAAAAATTAAGAATTCTAGCAAATCATTGTCATCAGTAAACTGAAAAATAATTCTCAGAAGTGCAATGCGTGTAGCTTCCTAGAAGTATGATGCTAGGTTAGCAGTAGCACAGCTAGTGTAATTTACTCTGTCCGTAGAGAATTGTGTGCTCTGCTTGGTAGATGATGGAAACATTTAGTAAAAGTCAGTCACTATATTTTTTAAAATTACTTTTTAATATTTGTCTCCTTTAACTTTTTGAGAAAGCCATCCTTCCAAGGCCAATGGGAACTTGAGTGTTTGATTATGTGTTTGTTGCCTTGCTGGCCTGGTGCATCATTTGGCCCTCCTAGGAAGGTACACTCAGGTATTCTTTCCAAGAAGGAAGAGGGACTTTAATATTTTTGCTACATATTCTTTATTTGGGGGGCATGCGTGTACCACAGCACATCTGTGGAGATCAGAAGGTACCTTGCAGAAGTCGGTTCTCGCCTACTGTTGTGTGGGATATGGGGATCAAACTCAGGTTGTCAAGCTCAGTAACAAGTGACTCTACCAACTGAGCCATCTTGCCAGCGCAGAAAAAGGACTTTACATTGCATGTCTCTTACAACTTGATATAACACTTTTTTAAGTTGTTGTGATAAGATTAAACAACTTAAGTACAGATCCATTCTGAGGTCTTCATTTTGTTTGACAGAATACTTAGTGTCCCTAAACTGGCTATAACAAATTAACAGTTTAAAGCTGTTGAAACCAAGTGATGGGGACATTTACAGAGTGTTAACAAGAATGTGTTGGTGAATAGAGTTGTTGTCATTCATTGACTAACAAGGACAGAGCTAGGTTTTCCAAGCCAACTCTTTATGTTACAAATACTTCTTCATAGCCAGATATGGTGATGCACCCCCATAATTCTAACACTTCGGCTGAAGCAGGATTATTGTCATGAGTTTAGGGGCAATATAGTGAATATATAGCAAGGTTTCACTTGAAAAATAACTACCCAAAAAAACCCCCGAAACATAATACTGCTTCAGAAATTGTTTGGTGATCATTTTATAGAGTTCTTCTACAAAAAGTTCACCTTTGTTTACGTAATGTGTTCATAGAATAAATGAATCTTGTTTAGTAGACATGGCTACAGGTGAAAGCACTTCAGCCATGGCTTACAACTTTGGATTATCTGTAATTTTAGCCCATTAAACAAACTATGTCCCCTTTTTATTTTTTCCAAGTAAAATTACAGCAGTTTGTGGAAAGCAATGGAAAGAGTAAAGCTCATGTATTGATATTTAAATGGATTACCTTAAAGAAAACTATTCATAATATTCACTTCTGTTGATTTTCATCTTGAATATTCTAAGTGATCGTTTCATAATCTCTTCCTTTGTGCTGGGGTAGTGGGGTAGCATGACACTGCCATAGAAAAGAAAGTTAACCTCCCTCTCCCACGGGCTGATCTGAGAACTGATCGTTTAATGGTTGAGACCAGGCTTTAGCAGTTTGGATAAGGTGTGTGTGTGTGTACATCTGCTCATTTGTTTTTAAACACAATGTCCTTTTAAATTTCAGTTCCAAGAACCCAGAAGAGGCAGAACTAGAAGACACCCTCAATCAAGTGGTAAGGGGCTTCGTGGCACACCCACTGTCATAACTGTTAATTCACAGGTTGTCTGTAAGACTCATTTCATTAGACACCTGAAATATGAAAAGTAATAGTCACTTGATTTTGAATCTGTGGTTTTACTCTTTAAATTAACTGATACTTTTAGCATTGGTACTTTGCTTCTCGATACTGAGTCTAGTCTACTCTACTCATTTGCTTTGAGGAATGGATGGAAGTGCTTACTGTAAATACTCTGGGGGGAGTTAGTCCATCCATACCAGTTGGCACACAGACCCAGCAAAGGCCAAGCATTCCTTGGCTTCTGGCCTGTGGCCAGTGACAGTCAGCTTATGAGTGTGGTTGGCTAATATGTTCTGTCCGTGGCCTTGCCAGATGGTTGTCTTCAAGTACATAGAGGACAAAGATGTGTTTCAGAAGTTCTATGCAAAGATGCTGGCCAAGAGACTTGTGCATCAGAACAGCGCGAGTGACGATGCTGAAGCAAGCATGATCTCCAAGTTGAAGGTGGGTTTCTTCATGTTCTGGAAAACTCCCAACGTTTGGGCTTTATTGGTGACTTGCCCATGTTATCAGTGGGGAGAGAAGTTTGTACCATGCAAACTTTGCTACTCCGCTATCTAGGCCTTCCTGGCCAGGCTTTCAGTGCTTTCCTACCTTTGCCACTTTTTTTGTGGCTCTTTTCCCCTGTCCAGCCCCAGCAGGGCTCTGCTCACCATCTGTACCTCCTATCCTGCCTCCCTAACACTCGGCCTGTTGGCTTTGATTGTTTTGATCACATTTTGTCCTGGGCTTGGTTAACTGTCGACAGGACAGGTGGTCTCAGTTTTTTCTTGGCTGTTGTAACTTTCTTACTCTCTGCACTCAACTCTGTGTATGTCCATACTTGCCAGCCTATTGAGTGCTTTTGTACATCTTTTACATGTATTTCACTTTGATCCAGAATTACATTTAGTAGTTATCGTAGCCCAGGCTACCAAAATTAAATACCATGGACCAGGTGGCTTAGACAACAGAAATTGCATTTCAATTCTGGGTACTAAGAAATCTAAGATCAAGGGACTGACTGATCTAGTTCTGAAAAGGGCTTTCTTGGTTTTTGCTCATCTGCCTTCTCACTGTGTCCTCACCTGGCAGAGTACTCATAGAGCCATTTTCCTAAAGAGCCTCCAAGCCCATATGAAAGGGACCCCACCTCATGAACTCACAAGGGCCCACCTTCAAACACTTTAACTCTAGTTTCACAGTTCAGCATGTACAATCTTGAGAGACAGTTCGATCCGTAGTAGTGAAATAAGAGACAAGTAAATGATTTTCAGGAAAGGGACATTTGAGATAGTCTCAGTTGCCCTCAAACATGTGATCCTCTTGCCCCCACTTCCTAAGTACTGGGCTTTCAGATGAATACCATTGCACCTTGTTCTAAATTATTTCCTCTTTATAATCTACCATAGTGATAGAACACCTTGCTTTTAAATGCTCTAGTAATGGTTATTGCATGGTTGAAGATTTAATTGTTCAACTTGTAATTCTTTTCAGAAAACATTTTATGTGTATGAGTGTTTTGCTTACATATATGTAAGTGTGGCAGGTATATACCTTGTGCTTGCGGAGGCCAGAAGAAGGCATCATATCCCTCTGGAACTGCCATTTGGGTGCTGGGAACTGAACCCAGGTCCTCTGTAAGAGCAGCAAATTCTCTTAAATCACTGAGTCACCTTTCTATCCCCATAGTTCCTTTTAAAAGTTTTTAAATCAGTGCATATTTACACCATAAAATACTAATAAATGTTACTAACTTTTGTAGTAGTTTGTTACAACTAAAAATGTTTTACTGTGATTTCTCTAAAATTCTCTTGTATGCATTCCTGTCTCTGTACAAATTAATGAGACAATTGCCTGGATTCATTTCAGCAAGCTTGTGGTTTTGAGTATACCTCCAAACTTCAGCGGATGTTTCAAGACATTGGTGTAAGCAAAGATTTGAATGAACAGTTCAAGAAGCACCTAACGAATTCGGAACCATTGGACTGTGAGTACTGAATGTTTATATAAGAGTTGTTTTAGGGTTCTTTGTAGCAGGTGATGCTAGTAACAGAATATAAAGTAAGGATGGTGTCAGAAATTCAAAGACCAAGAAGTAGGAAATTCCTCTCAAGTGCCTCCTTCCTCTTTCTCCTGACTCCAAGAGAATTGTTAGATAGCATTCTTTGCTAGGATGAGATAATGCCAAGCTCACTTGGGGGTGGGTGGTTGTGGGGTGACGTGCATTTGAGTCCTGAGCTTGATTTTCCTGCTGACCTTTCCCCACAGGTAGGGGATACATGGACTTGCTTTGTCTTTTTGGTTTTTTTTTGTTTTGTTTTGTTTTGTTTTTTATGTGCATAAGTGTTGCCTATATGTAAGTGTACCACACAGGCATGACCAAAAGAGGACATTGGATCCCTTGGAACTGGAGTTGAGAACTGTTAGCTGCTATATGGGTGCTGGGAACCCAATCTGGGTCTTCTGCAAGAGCAGCCAGTGGTATTAACCACTGAGGCATCTCTCCAGCTCCTTGTCTTCTTTAGAACCTGAGTTTGGATCCACTTCTGATATTTTTGACTTTTGAATGAAAATTAAAGAATTTTATTCTTCCCAAACAATGGTGCTATCCCATCATTAAGCTTAGCAGTTTTGCTAGTGAGCTTTTCAGCTATCTTTAAGATGAGATTCTTGTTCTAATTCACAGGCTTTCCATGTGTATAGATGGCCTTTTTGCAGTAATAAGTGGCACTTTTGAGCTTTCGGTATCCTTGTATTTAGGGCTGATAGACCATCCCTGGTCACCACAGACTGAATTTTCTATGGCAGAAATGAAACTGAACTCAGTAGAACAGCACAAGGCTCTTCTTGACAATAAACTGGAAAACTGTTGCTCTCTGTTCTTCAACCTTTAATTTTAGTTTTTGAGACAGGGTATCTAGCTGTGTAGCCTAGGCTAGCCTAGAGCTTGAGATCAGCCTCTCAAGTACTGGGATCACAGTCGAGCACCATAGTGTCCTGTTTCTGTCTTTTACTAATTTTAATTGAATAAAATGAATTGAACTCATATCCAATTCTTAATTTTATATTCAAGCAAGATTTTCATTTAATGTGTTTTGTTTTAATATAGATCATTCCCCCATAAATCTGAAACAATGGAATTTAAATTAACTGTGTTCACAAATTTCTCCTGTTCCACAGTGGATTTCAGTATTCAGGTCCTAAGTTCTGGATCCTGGCCCTTTCAGCAGTCTTGCACATTTGCCTTGCCATCTGAGGTAAGAGTGGCTTTGTTCCTGGTCTCTTTGGGCTATGTAGAGATAGAAACTGGTAGCCTGTCCATTTGTGGCCTTTACTGCCATGCCATGCTAAGCATCTGGGGCAGCTCTCGTGGAGAAAGATATGAAATGGGGCTGGGTTGGAGAGCTAATGGTTGGTCTGCTCTGTCCCAACCAACAATGTTTACTTAGTCTTGTAAGTGGAACCTAATTGGTTGTCTAGTGAACTTTTGCTGGTGCCTGCTGGCCTGTGGTAGAAACCTGTTTTTGATTCTGCCCTCCAGTGCTGACAGAGCTACATGAGTCACACCTGGCATTTGTAGTTCATGTTTCTGTAAGCACCAATTTTGCACTCACAACTTCAGGCGGGGTGCTTTATTTAGAAGTGCTGACTATAGAATGTGGGGCAATAAGGATTTCACCCAGTACTGTCCTTTCATCCAGTTGGAACGCAGTTACCAGCGATTCACAGCTTTCTATGCCAGTCGTCACAGTGGCAGAAAATTGACCTGGTTATATCAACTGTCCAAAGGGGAGCTGGTCACTAACTGCTTCAAAAACAGATACACCTTGCAGGTAAAATCATGTTTATTTTGGAAAAATTATTTTAGTGCTGAATGAAAATAAGACATTATATAGCAATCCAGTAGATAACTCACACAGCAGAATGGGGTTCAGATTCTGGTAGAACTGCAAGGTGGGCAAAGCATGCCTGTCAGATGAGCTGAGTGCCAAGTCTTCAGCTGGGGGGCAAGTTACTTGCTCACTCTCAGCCTCAGTTTTCTCCTCCATTAGACTGGGAATGTTAGTGCTTCTACCGCAGATGTGGTCTTTAATAAATGTTGGCATGCCTCTTGTCCAGCACATGCTTGGGTGGTAGGTATAAAACTTGGCATTTCATGTATGGTTACAATCACAGCCCTTTTCCTTTGACAGCAGTTTCATGTTGATATTCACCCTTAGTGAGACAGCAATTCAGAGTACTAAGTAGTAATAGCTGTATAATTAATCATATAGCAGTGTAATTGATCATATTTGTAGATGAAAAACTGAGGTCTGGTTAATTTAAGGGACTCTACATCATAGCTTGTACATTGCAGAGCCAAAATTTCAGGTAGGCCTTCTCTCTTAAGTTCAGATTCTTTCTACTTTAAATTCTGTATGTGGTGCATATTTGATCTCTTAAGGTCTTACTGGTGAGCTGGTAAAGATACTTATTAGTCTTAGCCAGGCATGGTGGTGCACGCCTTTTATCTTAGTTCTCAGAAGGCAGAAGCAGGCAAATCTCTTCAGTTCAAAGTCAGCCTGGTCTACATAGCAAGTTCAGCTGGGGGTACATAGTGAGACCCTATCTTTTACAGAGAAAAAAGCAATTGTAAATTTCTTTGGGTGTTAAACTTCAGACTGGGTTCTATAGGTCAAACTGCATGTTAGTTTAACCTTTCAGTCTATTCTGATACAGTAGTTAAGACAAGTAACCACTGCACTGGGTCTGGATGTCTCTGTCCACTTTAGTATGTATATTACTACAAGATTAGAATTTTATCTCACGGGGCTGGAGAGATGGCTCAGTGGTTAAAGACACTCACTGTTCTTGCAGAAGACCGGGGTTCAAATCCCAGCACCCACACAGCAGCTAACAACTGTCCGTAACTCCAGTTTCAGGGGATCCAACAGCCTCTTCTGACCTCCGTGGGCATTGCATGACACGGGTGCACTCACCTACATGCACATAAAATAAAAAATAGAGAAGAATTTTGTCTCACAAATACACATAGAAAGATGGGTGTGGTGGCATATGCCTACAATTCCAGGAGCTTGAGACAGGATTACTGTGAGTTCAAGATCAGTGTGGACTACATAAAAAGACCCTGACTCAGAAAATAAAACAAGGGCCAGCTAGGTGAGATGGTTCAGTGGGTAAGGACACGTTCCACCAAGTCTGATAACCTGAGTTGGTCCCGGAAACCCACATGGTAGAGAGATGAACTCTCAAAAGTTGTCCTCTGACCTCCACATGCATACTGCAGGGCACACGCACATATCAAATTTTTAAAGTTACATCTCCTGAAACCCTTGTGTTTTAGACTGTAGTACCAAAATGTCTCTGCCCTGTTGTTGGCCAGATGGAAGCTTAGCACAGGGTCTGTCTGCTGTGCATAGCTGAGTATACACACGGTAAACCATCAATAATGTGCTCCTCACCTGTCCATGCGTTTTCAGTTAATACAGGAACAGATAAGGCATTTTGTTCTATAAAAATTGAGATATTTTCCATCTAATAAAAGGCATGTATTTTAGGCAGTATGTATTCTGGCAGATGTGTGCCCACTGCTAAAACAGATTTGACTTGGTTTTGATCACTGCCACTAGAAAGATTGTAGTTACCTGTTTGTACAGGCATCCTGCTCATCATCTTGGGAGCAGTAGTTCAAAACCCTTGTAGAGTGTGTTCTTATTTCCTCCCCTTGGAGTCTGTGGGGATCCCCTAAAACAGTCATAAGGTATCACTATGGGCTGGCTTCTCCTTATGTTGACCCAAGTCCTGTGTGAGCAAGGAGTGGGGGTCCTTGTTGCCACGACTCCCACAGAAGAAAGGAGGGGGAGTGGACGGTCAGTAAGGTGATCGATGGCCGGCATATACTGCCTGGTACAATCTAGTAAATGATGCCTGAAAGCATCTTGGCTCCCCGCCCCCCCCCTTTTTTCTTCTATGTATTATTTTTAGTGTTTGAGTGTATTACATGCATGTATGTGAGTACACCCATGTCGTGCAATGCCGCTGAGGTCAGAAGAGGCTTCGGATTCCCCTGGAACTGGAGTTAAGAATGGTTTGTAGCCGCCATGTGGGCGCTGAGAATCGAACCCAGGTCCTCTGCAAGAGCAGTCAGTGCTCTTAGCTGCTGAGCCATCTCTCCAGCCCTTCCCCCTCTTTTTTGAGACAGGGTGTCCTTGTAACCCCAGCGGGCCTTGATTCACTTTGTAGCTGAGGATGACTTTGAACTTTTTTTTGATCTTCCTGCCTCTACTTCCCAGCCTATTCTTGGGATTACAGGATTTTATGTGGTGGTAGCGATTGAACCTCGGTCATCATGTATGCTAGGCAAAAGTGCTAGGCAGTGAGCTGCAGCCCTGGCCCTCATTGTGGTTTTCTTTAAACTATATCATACCTAAATCATACCTTTCTTGCTTTTTACTTAACTTTTTTCATCCATTTATGGTAAGATACTTAAGGTTAAATATAAATATAGATGTAGATATTATTCATGCAGGTCGTTCACATTAGCTGTACCAGAAGGTAATTTTTGCTCCGATGTGTACAAAGACAAAGCTCTATGCTTAATGTCTCTACACCAGGTATATTTTTATCTATACAAAAGTGTAGGTGCATATATAGTTATATTTACATAGAGGATACCTTTCAGAAGAAAATTAAATCATTTCAGTGTTTGAAAAGGCATCTTTCAGGAAAATGTGTGTTGTAGTGGCATCGCAACACTTAGTAGTCTCTTTTAAATTGATCTGCTTTGAGTTTTTTTGCATCTCTTTGAAGAGTTTGTTTTGTAAAAGTAGGCTGTGCAGATGTGGAGCCTTTCCCATGTATTTACATTTTCTTCTTTCTTTTCTGTGGTGGCCTCAAAGGCATCCACGTTCCAGATGGCAATTCTGCTTCAGTACAACACGGAAGATGCCTACACTGTACAGCAGTTGACCGACAGCACTCAAATTAAAATGGTATTCCACTCATTTCAGTCACTTTATCCTATCAAACTGCCATTTCCTTGTTCTTATGGATGTTGTGGGAAAGGTGTGAGGAGAGGACATGGATGTCATTGATTTGAAAAAGATGTTTGCACCATGAGAAAAACTCAGTCCCAGTGTATGACTACAAGGTGTCAGGAGACTAAAAAGAGGCTGAACAAGGCAGACCCACAAGGCTCTTTCCTGGGATCTCCAGACAGAAGGACATCATGGCAGCAGCAAGACCACCGGCTCTCTCAGCTTGGGTCAGAAGGAGAGGTGTATGTAATGGTCCCTTCATATACCTGGCTTATCTCAAGCTGGTACAAACTAGGGGTAGTTGTGTGTGTGTGTGTGTGTGTGTGTGTGTGTGTGTGTATGAGAAAGGGGGGAGGGTATGCACATTTCTATGGGCCCATGTGTATGTGTGTGCATTCTTGTGTATTGGAGGCTAAAGGTTAGGCGTCTTCATTGATGACCTTTCTTTTTTTGAAGCATCGTCACTTATTGATTTGGCTAAGCTAGATGCCTCAGAATTTGTGTGTGTGTGTGTGTGTGTGTGTGTGTGTGTACAGGTGTTCATACATCATGGCTTACATGTGGAGGTCACAGGAATTGGTTCTCTCCTACTGTGGGATCTGGGGATTGAATTCAGGTGTCAGGTTGGTACAGTGTTTGCCTTTTCCTTCTGAGCCATTGTGCCCCACTATTCATTTGTATAGTTGATTAAAATTCCATTGTATGAATGAATCACATTTGCCTTGCCTATTCATGCCCATTTTTTACGTTACTATTTTTATTTTGTGTATAAGTGTATTGCCTGCATGTATATAACTGCATTCATGTCATGCAATGCCCACGGAGGCCAGAAGAGGGCGTTAGATTCCCCTGGAACTGGAGTTACAGATGGTTTTTAGCCTCTGTGTGGGCACTGGGAATCAAACCCAATTCCTCTGTAAGAGCAGCCACTGAGCCAACTCTCCAGCTCCCATTGATGGTTATTTTAGTTTCTATGAATAATGCTGTCAGCATATACATAGGTGTAGAATTTGCTAAACTGTTGTAGTGTCTGCAGCTTTTCACATTCAGTCCCTCCTCATCCTTAGCCAAGTTAATTTTCCCTTTTTTTACTGTGGTAATCTGGTGAGTACATAGTATCTCAGTGTGGTTTTAGTTTGCATTTCCTTACCAACCAATGGTACTGAGGTTTTTGTGTGCTATTTGTGTTTCTTTGGGAAGCTGTGCACTTGTAGCTTTAGCCTATTTTTAATCTGGTTGGTTTTATGTAGTGCTGGGGATTGGGCCTAGGGCCTAAGCAAGTACTCCATCAACCAAGATGTTACCCTGGCCCTCAGTTTATTTTTCCAGTCCTTGCTTTATTTTTTGTTTTTTTTTTTTTAAATATCTTTTTAAAATGTATTTTATGTGCTCGAGTGTATTGCCTGCATGTACATAAGTGCACCTGTGTTGTGCAATGCCGATGGAGGTCAGAAGAGGGCATCGGATCCCCTGAAACTGGAGTTATAGACTTTGTTAGCCACCATGTGGGTACTGGGAACTGAACCCAGGTCCTCTGCAAGAGCAGCCAGTGCTCTTAACCGCTGAAACATCTCTCCAGCCCCTTGTGTTTTGAGACAAGGTTTCCCTATAGCCCCAACCGGCCTGGAACTCGCTATGTAGACTAGGCTGGCCTCGATCTCACAGAGGTCTGCTCACCTCTGCCCTCTTCTGGGAGAGTGCTAGGATTAAAGGCATGCACCACCATGTGAGGCCTCTCACTTTTTTAAATTTACCCTTACTTGTACATATTTATGGGGTACAATATGAACACTATTTGACACCCATTTTTAATTTTGGTAATGCCTACTTTAATTTTTGTTGCTAGCAGGGAGGCTGAGCAGCTGTTCTGTGGTCTCTCTCTGATTGACTCTCATCAAGGCCACACCAGTCTTTCTACTCATTTTTGGTCTTAGAACTCCCTTCTGGGGCTTCCACTGCCCTCCTTTGTGCCCCAGACACAGCCAGTACTTCTGAACCAATTGCAGGTCTAGAGGTCTTATTCTGACAGCCTTACATGCATAACCTCAGACCAGTATGGCTGTCATTATGGGGAAGGTAGAACATCTGTCCATCCTTGGTTAAGAGTGCAGGTGAGGAAGTAAGTGCCCATGAGGCTGATGGTGCTGGAAGTGACCACACCAGCCACTGCTTCCAGATGAGGGGCAACATGCTATATCTGAGTTCACCAAAGCCAGGCTGGCAACAAATCACCTGCCACTGAGCCCCAGCATGCTCATAAACAGATGCTATTTCCGAAGTTCCTGCTATGATGCTCCTTAATGCTTTGTTTGCACAATCTGGGGCATAGCTCAGGGGTAGAACACGTGCTTCGTGTGCAAAACTCCCTGGATTTGATTCCTAGCACCACTGAAATTTCGTGTGCAATGATCAATGTCTAAGATGAACCATCAGGCATTTAATAAGTGAATAATTTCCTGTAGGTTTAATTGAAGAAAGGAGTCCTGCATTGTTTCCAGTGTTCAGGAAAAGAGCAAGTGGTGAATTAAAGAACCTCTAAGACAAGCCCATGTCACTTTCGTCAGGTCATGATCTGCTTTTGGGATGATGACTATTTCTCTTGGATGGTCACTTTTTAAAAATGTTTTTCCTTCTAAGCCACTGTCTTTTTCTCTCTAATTGCAGGACATTTTGGCACAAGTCCTACAGATTTTATTGAAGTCGAAATTACTGGTATGTCTGTGTTCTTGGCATGTTAAACTAGAAAAAAAGCCTTTTTCCTGGGATGTATATAGTAACAGTTACTTTCTTCTAGGTCTTGGAAGATGAAAATGCAAATGTTGATGAGGTGGAATTGAAGCCAGATACCTTAATAAAGTTGTATCTTGGTTATAAAAAGTAAGGAAAATATAATATACAGATGGTCCTAAACCATAGGCTTAACCCCTGGCACCCCGGGCACACTTCTCAGGATTGTCATAAACCAAGGGGGACTACGAGCTCCACACAGGCCTGGTGGGCTATCTGACAATCCTCAATGTTTCTTTGGCTCTTGAGTTTGATTTTCTCTTTATTTTTAAAATAATTCTTGAATGGCTCACATTGAATGTTTAGACCATTGTGTCAAAGTATCTTAGCTTTATTACACTTGACAAAATTGAAGGATAAGGACCTGGGTTTTCTGTAACACTAATTTTGCTATTAAGTCACTACTGTGACTTAATAGAATTTGGCAGAGGATAGTTCCCCAGGTAGTTGTTAGAAATGATGCAGCTGTGATCCATTTTCTGCCCAGTCTTAGGCAAAACCTTTCTGAAGTGTTGACAGAAAGCAGACTTTATAGTGATGTTTTCTCTATTTTTTTTGACAGTAAGAAATTAAGGGTCAATATCAATGTGCCAATGAAAACTGAACAGAAACAGGAACAAGAAACCACACACAAAAATATTGAGGAAGACCGGAAACTCCTGATTCAGGTGACTGAACTGGCTGTTGTGTGCTTAGAGAGCTGTGTTTCCAATCATATGCGGGTTCTAATTGGTGAGTGGCTGCCAGAATAATCCATGGTTTGGTGATGGCCATAGACGACAACACCTGAAGCCAGGATACTGGTATCTGAGGGATGAAGTCCTTTATGTCCCAAGAGAAAATTGTGTAATCTTTTTGCCCTAAATATTGGGAAATGAATGTGGCAGATTGAAAGAAATGAAAGGACAGGGGAGTAGAGGGGAAGAATGGGGGGCTTCTGTGGCCTTGGAGGTTACATTTTTCCATATTCTATAGTGTGCTAGAGTTAGCCAAAGCATTTTCATGTTTGTTCTATTAGAGCTGAAACATGGGTAGATAGAATTGGCTGTCTGCACCCTCTTTGACATGCAGGATCCTTGTTACCTGTTAGGACGTTGTAATCCTCTGTGGAGAAGTAGCACTCAGGTGGCTTATGCACAGGCTGCCTCTGACTTGCAGCTCAGCTGTTATAGCTCCAGGCTCATGTTTTTCCTTGTTGATTGCATAGGCGGCCATTGTGAGAATCATGAAAATGAGGAAGGTCCTGAAACACCAGCAGTTACTTGGTGAAGTCCTCACTCAGTTGTCGTCCAGGTTCAAACCACGGGTTCCAGTGATCAAGGTACAGGAATTACAAAGTAACAGCTGTCCCTTATCATTTAAGAAAATTTTTAGCAAAAAGTGGATTAATTGCCGTTTCATGATGAAGGGAACTGGCTTGTTGTGAAGCAATAGACTTCAACAAAGGAAAACAGGCCTACTTTTAAATTTTTCTTGAAGTAACTACTCAGAGAGGTACATGGTCCACAGTGTAATGATTTTCATAAAGTGCATACACATGTGTAGTCAATACTCAGATGGGAATAAGTAGTTACCAACACCCCAAAATTCTATGTTCCTCCCCGATCCCTGCCAGTCCCTATACTTCTGTGGCAAATGGCTGTCCTTGCTTCTGAACCATAAGGCAGTGTTAGCTGGTTTTGCTTTATAGTGGCTTATGGAGGGTACACTCAGCTGTGCCTGTTAAGAACTTGCTTGGCAGTGGATGTGGGAGACTCATCCTGGGTTGCATTGTTAGCAGTTGTTTGTTGATTCTAACTGCTAGTGCATGTTGTTATATCACATACCACCCATCTAGGGCACTGCTGATTTCTCATTTGCTCAGTTTCTATTGGGTTTGTTGCAAACAATAACTTAGCAGGTCTTTCCTTTTCTGAAACTACTTGGGTAAATCGTAGTCTTTAGAGAGCCTCAGAGGGATGGCAGTGGACAGATGAGTCCTCAGCAGTCAGGAGGCTTCAGCATGTCTGAGTCATTTGTTAGTGGCCCTTCAGAGCCTGTTTCACCACCCCTCCCATGCTCTTGACATTCTGCAGGGACTGGAGCCCTGCTCCCCCACAGAAGCCAGACTGGTAGAAAAGGAGATTGTAGCCTGATGTGCTACAGTACTTGACCCCCTAATTTTTAGAGCAGATTCAAGGAAGAAAGCTGTGGCTCCATGGGCTGGCTGAGGTGGCTTCAGTTACCTTCAGTAGGTATTGCTAAGGGGTCTGTATTCAGGAAAGCATGGCTAGTAAAACTCCAGGCCAAAAGGTACAGAGGTGAACTTGCTCCCTGCTGAGTTCTCAGTGGAGGTAACCAAGGTTAGGGTGGCGAGCTCTGTTCTGATGGTTATTTGTATCTCTCTTCCCCTTTCATTCCTTTGTCCTTCTAAAATAATGGCAGAAATGCATTGACATTCTCATCGAGAAAGAATACTTGGAGCGAGTCGATGGTGAGAAGGACACTTACAGTTACTTGGCTTAACCCTTCTAGAAGGGTCTATATGACCCACAAGCAAATAGCTGCAATGGAGAAAATGGAAACAACTGAAGTTCATAGCAGCCAGCCTGCCGCCATTTGGACCTCCCTTTTTAAAACTGAGACCAGGACTCCCACCAGCTGGTCTCAGATACAGCAGAACTGCTCAGGACTGATACTACATTTCAAGTCTGTAAATATGGACACCAACGCCATTTAACCTAACTTAAGAAAAGAGGGAACTGAACCTTCCATGCTAAAGGCTGCATGCTACTGCATTTAAATCAATACATTGGCTACCTGATTAACACCTGCTGTCTGAGGCAGTGCCTATGTTGGCAGCACTTTGAGAGCAAGTCTGAATGGACCCACCTGTAATCTGCTATGAGAAACCATTTGTATAGTGTGTTTCATTTTTTTAATGTGTGAAAATAAAGAAAATTAAAGGATTTCTGTACAAGTTGCATTTGGTTTTAAGTTTTACTAATTTCTATCTGTAAATAAAAGATTTAATGATTGTGCAAATTTCTATTCCCAGTGTCTTCCTGGATTGAAAATTAAGGTCTCAGTTTCAAGGCCCCCAACCCTTTTGAGCACCAATGCTTGTTTCTGAGACTTCCTCCAGGGGTGTGAGAACATCACGTAAGAGACACTGACTCCAGATTGGTTGTTGACCTGTGAGGACTGAGTGAATATAGAAACAATGCAGGCAGAAGCTATGACAAGGCAAGAGGCTGTGTTGTCACCAGTAAGAACTGGAATAGAGGTGGGCTTCCTAGTCTCCCACCTCCCCAGCCAGTCTGCTGAGTCAACCCAAGGTAGGTCAGTGACCAGAGGTCATACCCACTCACTGCCTGGTTCTAGTTCTACTTTGTGGTTAACGGGCCGCCAGAGAGGTTCAAGCATCTGTGATTCCTGGTAATTCCTTGGGTCAGCTGGGAGAATGGGTAAGTCCTCTGCACACAGATGATAAGAACTAAGAATCTCTTACTTATCAGGTATTTATTAGTGAATTAGCTGTGTTCTTGGCTATTAGTTTTTTCAAGGAGGCTGGTGTATTTACTGCAGTATGTTCCTTGGAGGATCGGGCCAGGCTTCCATAGCTCGCACCCTCCTCAGATCCACTCCTAAATGGAGAGGTGACAATTCTCTCTCTCTCTCTCTCTCTCTCTCTCTCTCTCTCTCACACACACACACACACACACACACACCCCTACACCCCTTCATTTTCTTGTATTCAGAATGTCTCTGGGGTTCCTAAGCAATAAATACTCGAGCACCCTTAGCAAGCTATTCCTGTATGAAGCTAAGCAAAGTAAAAGGCAGAAGAGCAAACATTCTCAACAGCTTGGCACTTAATGCACTGAAACTTCCACTATTTGGCGAGTAGAGGAACAGTGGTAGACATCAATCCCAGGGCCTTGCACATGTTGGGCAAATGCTATGTCACTTAGCTACATCCCTAGCTTTGAGCTAGCACCTCACTAGGTAACCCAGAGTGGCCTCCAACTCAAAGTCCTCCTGCCTTAGCTGCCTCAATGCTGAAGATACAGGCCTGCCTTATCATACCCAGTCCCTCCATGCTTTTAGTGTATCTACTTTTTTAAAGTCTTAAGACTCCCAGTATATAAACTGGGCAAAAATAAGGAGGACCCTGCACCTCTTCACCCTCGAGGGCCCTAGAGCTCCACAGAGATGATTTGAAAATGGCACTGTTCATCTACAAACTCAAGTGGTACGTATAACTTGCTTTTCCTTATAAAAGTTCATTTTTTATGTGTCTGAGACAAACATGCTGCAAAGAAACAATATGGCCCCACTTTCAGAGCTCAAGTGTTTTATAGTCTGAAGAACAGGAAAGAGCACAAGGAAGTTTGGCTAAGGTCTCTTAGGTAAGTCCTGGGTACTGTGGACATTCCTAACAAAGGTGAACTGCAGGCTGGGCTAAGTCAGATATTAACCTCACATCTTAGATTCCTGGTAAATGACGTGTTGATGGGTATGGAAAGAAGACAATTTGCTGGACGTGGTGGCGCATGCCTTTAATCCCATCACTCAGGAGGCATAGGCAGGTGGATCTCTGTGAGGCCAGCCTGGTCTACATAGCAAGTTCCAGGCCAGCTGGGGGCTACAGGGAGACTGTCTCAAAAAGATCAAAAGAAAAGACAAGTCAAGCTCTCTTGCATCACTTCCCATATTTTAGGCCCCAAATAATTAGCAGATTGTGTTTCTCTTAAAAGAAAAAAGTTAACCATTTGGGGAGGAATTTATTTTTCAGGACAACTGTTTTAGTCTTCTGTAGCTGTTGTAAGGCAGAGGTATGACACTTAAGTCCCTTAGTATGTAGTCCCTAGAGAAATCTGTCCCAAGTCGTAACCAGCCAATATGCAGAAGTTTCAGTTGACAAAATCACCCTTCCTGGTTCTTACCTCTTTACATCTAGGATGAAGGACTTGCAAATTGTCATGTGGTACTGCAAACTCAATGTCATTTTTAATTTTTATGTGTGTGTATTGCCTGCATTAAGTGCACCTGTGTCGTGCAATGCCCACAGAGGACAGAAGAGGCTGTCAGGTCCCCTGGAACTGGAGTTAGGACAGTTGTTAGCTGCCATGTGGGTGCTGGGATTCGAACCCGGGTCTTCTGCAAGAACAACCAGTGTTCTTAACTGCTGAGCCATCTCTCCAGCCCTCTTTTAATACTATTACCAGCTACACCTGTGAAAAAATTTACATAGGATTATGCAAACACAGTTAATACTCAAGCACCACAATAGCCATAAAAGTTTAGACCTTGCCTCCCAAAAACAAAAGTTCTCAAAATGACTGGTCTACCAGTACAATGTATGCATGGTGCATCTGGGACTCTGCCATACTCAACATTTTCTCCCAGCTGTTTATATCTGGGGATGAGTTGGGAACTGTGGCCAAGTAATCTCTGGGATGTCCTTAGCAGTCTCATGTTTAATAAACAGATGTGCTCCATTTGCTCATACCTCTACAACAAAGCCATTAGATTATCCACAGGAGAAACTGCCTGAACAATCAGTAAGAAAGGACTAGCCTTCAGGAGCTAAATGACTATCCACTTTGTCCAGGTCAACCCATGCCAAGAGCTGTGGGAAGAATACGAGGCAGCTATGGGCAGTCGCTGATCTATATGATACACAGGCCAGTCAGCAGCCACCTATGGTATGTGGTGTCTTTAGAATTCAAGTTGCTTTGGCTTGTGAATTGATGTGCTGATGAAATTTTAGGAATTAGCAAAGTGAGCTTTAATATTTAATATGACACTTTTATCTCACTCTAAATAAAAATTTCATCTGACTCTAGAAAGGGCAAATTGGTACCAAAAAAACGACAAACCATAGACTGATTTCTAGTGTCTCTACACTAACGCTGTGTGTCTAGGAAGGGTACTAAGCAGTTACCTGCTGCTCTGAGACCAACTGTACGCTGTGGGGCACAAGGAGGTCCAGGTATCCCATCTCACTGGGATTTGGTGAGGGTTGTTTTAAACCCTTTGAAGATGTTAAACTATCAATGTCTGTCTGTTTTCCTCAGTCTCACTACATAGCCCAGGCTGGTTTTGTGTCTCCCCTCCAACTCACAACCTTCTTGCCTCAGCTTTCCAAGTGCAAGGATTAAAGCCACACCTGGCTGCCGGCCACCTTTTATAGGTAGGTCAGGAATCCCAATTTACACTACACTGTTCTGTTTCTAAGAACTGCACCAAGTTAATGGAACTGAAGTGTCTCTAAGAACATATAGGTTCTTAGAAATAAGCTAGTTCAACTTCCACCACTTTACATACAGACAACAGATTTGGAGGTTAAACAGCTTTCTCTTGGATACAAGCTGACTGAAACACCCTTCCCAGTCTTCTGTTGGCAAGCTCTGTCCTCATCTGAATGCCCAGAATGCATGCCAGTACTGGTCATTCATGAGGTCTCCTACAAATTCATAGACAATAACAATGTAACTAGGCAAATCCTATGCTACTGTGCATATGTTTATTATATCTAACATGTAAAAGTATCACTTTGTATGGAACCAAATTTATACTGCCTATTAATATGAACAGGCAATATTAAAGATTCATAGACAACTGAGACACCAAAATTAAGTTTGAGACTTTTCCTGATAGAGATATTATTTTTCTAGAATTAGTTGATGAAGCTCTGTAGTAACTGACTCGGCAACAAGGAGAAGTTCAAGTAGTCTTTATTCAAAATTGAAAAATGTACCATACTGCATTATTGCAAAAATTCACTGGTACAAAACACTTTGCAGCTGGTGAGAAGGCAATAAAAAGTTGATTTTTAAACTCGTTGCTATAAATTACTGTTACAGTACTTTGCAAATTCAGAATTTCACACTGCATTTTGTTTTTCTAAATTGCCCACAGTACTTGAGGTTCCTGAAGCTAAGGCAGCTGTTTCAGAGAGGAGGGGGAGGAGGTAGCAGATGTCAAGGGATTTCCATTTCTCTTTCGATGCCCACATACTTCAGGGCATCAGCCTGGCTGTATCTGAAACAACATGAACAAGAGATTACTACCAGGCCTGCTGACATAGTGGAGCACTGCATGGTTATTTTTTGGCTTTTTCTTCCTTTAACCCCCATCTCCCAATTACAGAGGTTGCACGCATAAAGTGAAGGCATGTACCCATTGCTGGTCGTCTAGTTAAGATGTTGCCTGTGGGTTCCCCACAGCTCCTGCCCAGCCCTCCCTGTGTCTCTGCAGCATACCCCCAGAGAGGCAACTCTACATTATGATGTTTGAATCTAATACCGCAAAAGCAAAATGATACGGAAATAGAACCAAAGAGCAGCCCCCACAAACTTTACCCAGATGCAGAAAGCAGATGCCAAGACAGGCACTTGAATGTCCCACCATGAATGGAGGAGCCTCAGCTCTACCCAGCCAGGGAAACTGGACAGCTTTGCCTCCAACCCTGGCCCACTTGGCTGCCCAACTTAGAGCAAGTATGAGGTGAAGTGATCTCCCCAGAATGAGTCCTATCCCAATACTACCAGGTTTCACTCAGTTCTCTCCAACTGTGTAGCAGAGCTCACTAGAACTAGGTAGGGACACATGGGCCCCAGTTTACACCAGCTCATTCCTCAAGGATGGTTTCTGGGTGGGATGTATATTTAGCCACAAGAATTCTTTAACTAGAAATCTTACCAGATCATACTTAAATAAACATTAACTGTGTTGTGAGGTTTATCCCACAGAGCTGGGTGATATATTCTGCCATCATGACTCATGCCATGGAGCTCTATGTTGTCAGGAGCTGTGAACAGCTCTCCCAGAAAGAACCCACAGGAGAACCCTAACAATTACAGAAATGAAGATCTAAACCTACTACCAGCAAGGATTATACATAGTGTGCCATCAAAAAAAAAAGGTCCATGCTGTAGAAAGTGAATACGATGTGAAGCATAATATAAAAGGGCCAGCTATCAGCAGAGGAATAGGACTTTCTGC